TGCAGCCAAAGCACGCTTGCTGAACTAGCATGAAAAACTTCAATGTATTTTTATTCATGTTCAAAATCAATTTTGAGGATCACTTTCTTGTTGCACAAGCAGAGCAGAGCTAAATTAACACATGCTTGGTCTCCAAAGAAGGACAGACTTAAGAACAGGCATTAAAATATTAATTGTCACAGTACTGCTTATGAAAGACATTGCATGAGTCATGACAATAGTAAAACTCACCTGAGCAAACTAACTACTGGTATTTGCTTTTTAAAGAAGTGCTATCTGTTTTTACCGGGAGCTAGCCAAATTTGACTCAACTAGGCTGGAACAGGCTACACCTGGAGGTGTGTTAATAGAACTGAGGAGTGGCAGCCTTTTGCAAAGTCAAAAGAGAACAAAAGGCAATTGGAAGTGAGTTAAGCTGGCAGTCACATAATGCTTAAGAGTTGTAGCTAAGAGCATGATTGACCATACCTTACATGACAAAGATAAACTTTGTTGGGAAATCCTTTTCTCCACCACTGAAAATGCTGAGTGGAATCTCTTTAGAGTTTAAAAGGTAGCTGATAAATCAAGTTTCTCCTTTACGTTTGTCCCACTACAGAAGTTGCTGCTTGGTTACGTCCTATAAAAAGACAGCTACAAATCTGAGCAGGAAAATCAATACTTGCCTGCCTGATTTTTCCACAATTATTAGAAAATACTCTGTTCCATTCATTGCTATCCGTTGCTTCTTACACAGAAACAGACATTTTCTTTAGGAAATGAAGGAAATAAATGACTAATAAAAAGTAACTGGCAAACCAGTAGCTGGATATCTAGTGCATATCCCATTGTATTACTTAATTCAGAGCCTGTATTTTTGTCACAGGCAGGATGATGGAGAGCTGCCAGCAAGTACAGGTGGCATCAAGAGCAGTTAGACTACTGTTTTACTGTGGTCATGAAAACACATTATCTAGGTGAAATTTTTTAAATTAAAAGCCACACAACGTTCTATATCATTTTTTTTTTCTCCTGAGCTTCCATTTCTTCAGTTAAAATACCAGCAAGTGATATTAAGAAATAAAAGGAGAAACAGCCACAAGTGCAAGCCTGGTTGTTTGCATTTTGAAATTTAATTTTAAAATTAGAACTTTTAGTTTTCTCTCTTCCTTCATCACTTTCCTCTAAAATACCTAAAAATTATAAGGTTTATTTGCTGGAAGTATAGACATACATCATAAGTTATTTAAAATAGGAATATGTACATCTCCAATCTTTCTCAGCTAAACAGATCTTCACCCTAATAACAGACATAACCATGCTAGTAGTCATGCACTCATTAGTGTATGTTCTTTTACTGCCAGTCCACAAACACAGGTTTGTGAATCCTTAGAAGTAGCAGTTGTTTTAGGCAAGACAAAGTATTATTTGGTAGAATAACCTAACAACCAATAACAGAGGCTCTGGTAATTCTGCCACCTGACCTCAACTTACTTTTTTTTTTTTTAAACAGAAATAATGACCTAGACCAGTGTCTCTCCTAACAGGATTGCAACTCTTAATGAAATAGCAAGAAACTTCAAAGGGTGGGAGTCATGAATACGTAGGGGAAAACCTAATTAAAAAAAATAAGCTACTGAAAAGCAACAAGAAAAAACAATAAAACCAAACTACCCTGAATTACAGCTAGAAGGAGCTCATTTCCTCCAGGGAAGTCAGAAGCAACTGTAATTATTAGCAGTAGACATTTACACGAGCTAGTGAACTATCAGCTCCCTTAAACTGCTGGCAGCAGCTCAGTTCCTGCCAGGTAACATAAAGGGTGCTCACATCTGCAGCTGATAATTACAGCTGATTTTCAAGCCTTCCTCCTGCCCCCAACACCCTGAGGAACTGAGCTGCTGCCAGCAATTAGAAGTAGTACAGTAGTATACATGTACTCTTCCGTGGAGAGTGCACAAAAGCAGATGAGCACAAGCAATATTCACATTTGTTCAGTTTGTGAAACACTCACTTGCTTTATTCACTGCTTCATCAGTGAAGAAAATCTTTATCATCTTGTAAAAAGTGTTGATTAATGCTATTAAATATACCTGAAACCAGAAGCATGCTATTTTTCAAAGTTTATACTAACTTTTCTACCTACATATAACAAAGCCATCCAGTAACTCAGAGACAGAAATTACACAGATATCCAAACACTAGTAATTGTTTTATTTTGTTCTACCTGAGCATCCAGTCTAGTAAAAAAATTATGTCTGTCTCCTCAAGACATCACTGTTTCCAAGAAACAATCCAAATCACAGAAGTGATATCACTTAGAATCACAGTAGGTACATGATGCATTCCCAGAAGATTTCCATACAGGTCATAGAATTAGAAAAAACAAACAAACAAACAGAAAATTGTTGCCTCCATCCCCACTAAGTTTCATTTAGCTTATCAAAATGGGAAAACATTCTGTGCTGGCTGCAGCCTGCACTACCATGCAAGCTGGTAAATTTTCAGATGGTGCTGTTATGTAAGGGGTAATCCTTCCCATTTGTAAATGACAATATCCCTACCTTGATATAAAAAAAAATATATGCAATAGTAAACCAAGGATTTTTTTGGCAGTTTTATGCTGTCTGGCAACGTTGTACGCCCTATCTTTATGCTATGAATTTATCAAGGTATCACTCTAAGTAAATGCGTATTCTTCCTCCTCCCCCTTCCAAGAATACTCATCATGAAGTTGTATCTTCTTTGAAGCAGAAAATTCTTTATTTTATATATATATATACACACACACTTCTGATGCAGAATGTTAACTATGCACTCTGATAAGCCTATAAATACAAACACAAGATGGAAAAAAAACCTTCAGAATATATATTCATCACACTTTGCTTTAGGGTATCAAATCAGTTGTTCCCCCCCCCCCCCCCCCAACTGTTCTGCAAGCAGTTTCTCCCAATTTCATCCTTCTTGCGCATTCTTTTCTCAAAAAAGAGACGTTTTCCAACAGATCTCCTAATCACACATTGGGAGAGGGTGCCAAACAAGATTTAAAAGAAAGCATCACCCATGTACAATCTCAGTATGAAAACTCTGAAAGTCTGGTCAAAAGAATAGTGGCAGGGTGTATTTATTTTTAAAAATACACTAGTCATTTTCAGGTGTTTTAATTTTACAACTTTACCTTTTGTTTTTGGAAAGCCTACAGATTTCAAAACATATACACTACCACGTCTTCCAGTTTCTATCTGCTTGCAGATATATCAGCTGGGCACATGTATCTATTATCAGGAATAAAACTCAAAAAAAATAATAGTTTAAATTTATCTAAATTTTCTAATTTTTTTGATCTTATTTCACAGTTGAAATCCACTCCTTTGTTATCTATTATAATACAGTGCACAATTATCACACTTTCCAGTGGCTAACTCCATAAGCAGAAATTCTGCAGAGCTGATGCACTGGAGGCTGTAATCCCGTGTTCCTCACAAGCAGCCCTGACCTCCAAGCTATCACAGGACCAGGAGATGCTCCACTGCTCCACCCCATTAACCACTGCTGGTAGCTCAGCCCAAAGTACCAGCCTTTGTTTTCACTGACACATAGGTACATTTTTAAGTCATTTTGGTACAAAGTGCTATATGGAGGCAAGGTTTCCTTAAACATCTCTGTAGGGAGACAGCAAGTCTTAAAATTACCGTGTGTCCACTGTTCTGTGGAAATTATTGCTAACATGTACCTTTTTGAAGCAGCTATAGCTTGCAGGCTACAAGGGCCAGTCATCTGAAATGAAAGGCATTCTAGAGACTAACATGTTGATCTGTGACTGAGACAGATGTTGCATGCAAATTAAAATTCCAGTTAACTAAAATAGGAACAGTTTATCAAGATTGAAAAGCATCTGCAAAGTAGTTTGCGATTATTTCTGAGTCACTTTTAAGGTCATTAAGAACATTTAGCACCGAAGTGAGAACCTTTTTAGGTTGTACATATATAACATATACATTATAATTACAATTGCAATGAATACAGGTGTAGATTCACCGACATCCTATGCCACATAAGGGGATCAAATACTGAGAAGTAAAAAAAGTTTTGGAAACTGATTATTTCATTCACTTATTCATTACGTAAGACCAAAACAAGGACTGATAAAGAGAGATGGATAGAAACCAAGGAGTGTGAACACCAGTTTGGGACAGACATCAGACTGAGCCACACAGAACTGCATATTTTTCATTATTGAACTTATTCTGTAAGGAAAAAACACAGATCAAAACCACCCTTCAAAATGCAACGTGAAGCCTCATAAATAGTAATAATAATAATAGAATGAATGAATCAAAAAAGAATTACTCCTACACCACTGGCAGAGACTCAGGAGTTACAAATGCGTTCAGGCATTGATTCAAAGAGCTGCCTGAAGAGGGAGAGATTAAGAAAAAAGCGCAAGAGCAAAGTGTCACCGACAATCGATTCCTCTCGTTCTCCCTCCCACCTCACCTGCCCAAGTTAGAGCTTCTTCTACCTCTGACCAAGTAGACTGTGACAACCTCCACTTACCGGGAGCGGGCAACCGGGGCACCCAGAAGAACAAACCCCGTCACCGCCCGGCTTCCCCAGCACTGCCTGCCACGCTCACCTGTCTGCCTGTCCCCCGGCTCAGGCAGGAGGCCCCCACCAGGAACAGCTACCTCAGCACCGTCTAGCCCCTTTCTGCCCTTTCCCTCTTCCACCACCCCCTTCCTCCTGCTCCTGCTCCTGCTTCTGCTTCTGCTTCTGCTCCACCACAGACCCTTCCTCAGCCGCCTTCCCCGGCCACTTCGCCCCGTTCCCCCCGGGGCGCGGACACCCCTTTTATCCGCGGGCTGCCTGGCTGGGGCCGTGTGCTCGCTCCAGGAGCATCGGCGAGGGCTGGAAGCCGCCCCCAGCCGCTGCGCCCCAGGGCAGGGAGCCCGGCGGCCGCCCCTCGCCCCCCTGCCCGAAGCCGCTGGCCTCAGCAGCCCCGTCCCCGCCTCACTCACCTGCAGCCGGCCGGCGGGCGGGCCCACGCTGAGGGCCGGGGCGGGATGAGAGCTGGGAAGCGAGCCCGGGGAAAGCGCAGTTAAAGCTGTAACGCAGCGGCTCAGCACGGTGCCAAGCAGCGGGGAGGAAAACTTGGAGGCTCGGCCCGGCTCGGCCCGTCACCTCCGCGCCGCGCCCCAGGGTCGGCCGGCAGCGGGTGGCAGGCTTGGGCCTTGGCTCCTGTGTGCGGGTAGGGAGGGGGGGGCCCTTCCCTGCACAGCTCTTCAACAGCAAGCTCGGGATGTATTTCCTACTAAAGAAGTAAAACTCGTCTGAAAAACACCCTTGCTACATCTGTGTACCACCTTTAATCCAACCCAGTGTACGAGATACAGCCTCTGCTTTAGGCTAGAGTACTACCATGCAAGGCCCAAGCAGGCTTCGGGTGTTAACAGGATCTGAGCTTAGAGGGGATTAATTGTGTCACCATAAAATTGTCACCTAATTATGTCACCACAAAACCATGGACATCTTAGGAACAGGCATCTAACTGGGACAAGTCCTTCATACAGTGGGACAAAGGGAAATTTTTGGTCAATGTGCCTAATGCAACTCTCAGAAAGAGGACGCTTGAGCCACCAGAGTGCTGCTGAGGGGAAGGAATAGTGCTCAACTTTGTTGTTGCGTCTGTATACAAAAAGCAAAATGGATCACTTGCCCTTGGTCTAACTTGGAAAGACGGATTTATACAGAAGAAAATATTCAGTACTTCAATTCTGAATGTATCATAGTAAAGGATTCATCAAATTACTGCATCCAAAGCTTCATAAAGATATCAAGCAATGGCATGTTCTGTATTTTGCTCATTTTTGAAGCTAGTTCCAAAGAGTTGAAATGGTTGTCCTTTTTATGTGCAACCCAGCACACATCTGTCAATAGCATTTCCAACTGAAGATGGAAAAACTTTGGTCAGGGGCTCTGTACTTGGAATGAAGTACATATAGCGATGAAGTATTTTTCCAAATAATCGATTTTAACATTTAAGAATAACACAAAAAGACTTACAACAATAATATGCAAGATTGATTTTCTACAGTGATGTTTAAAATATGCTAAACTTCTATGAGAACATATCCGAAACCAGTTTACATAACGTAAAAGAAATACTTTAAAAGAATGCAGATCTTATAGTTCAGAAATTGCAGCAGTTGTAGTTTATCTTGTAAAAACAACAACAACACAACTTTAAAACATCAGGGACATCAAATGTGTACTTTTTCCACACTGCCTTTTATTTTAGCCTAGATATCAACAGTATTCTCTGAAGTAAATGGTGCGGGAAGGCCTAATAATTTAAAAGGCACACTCCACCATTACATTTGTAAAAGTCTTCATTCATTCAAATGAAGTTGATCCTTCTTTTTTGTTCCCTTTTGAAAGTACTATGTACATAAAGGCTCTGGAAGTCTTTTCATGATTGTAGAAAAGTGATATTAAACATTTATTTGACGAAATTAATATGGTAAACAAAAGACTGCTAACAGCATTAGAACAGTACAGTACAATCTGTCTTTGCAAGAATTGCATGGAGCCTTTAGTTTTAGTTATTGCATATAAATAATTATTCAGCTAAGTCTATAGTTGAAATTTCATAGTAATGTATTAAACTATGGGCATACATCACCCTACTTACTACTTTTTGATACCTGTTCTATATGTTTATCCATGTATTGGAATAGAAAATTATATGATTGAAATCAAGTTTCTGTTCCATTTATCATTTGCTCGTAACTTTCTTTAGGCCTGACATTTTCTGTTTTTATAACCCACATGAAGGATTTATTTTGGAGTTTGTGGGTTGTTGTGTTTTTCTTTTTTTCAAATAGAAGCAAATTCAATAGAATTTTAAGTGCACAATATACGTTGGTGTTTTGCATCTGTGTATCTCAAAAGTTAGATAAAATATGCAGGACGTTTTTAAGCTATAGTAAAGAAAACACCACATCTAGGAGAATGTGTGTTTGTGTATTTACTTAAAAAAGAAAAGCATAACCAATGGTGGAGAATTCACATGTCTTTCCACCAAGAGTGGATGATACATGATGACTTGAGCAGATGAATTTGGGGTGGTAGTGATTTTCTTTAGTGTTAGGCTTTCTTTTATGTATGCCCTTAAGAAACCAGCCATCCTTAAGCAATCTCAGACTAAGATGTGAAGCTCATGCCTAAATAGCTGTTAAGGCTGCTTTAAAGAGCTGTAGCTGCATCATCAACCGTTCCTCCTGACCAGAAGTCCAGGCAAGCCACATAAGAGGTACACCACACACAGTTTTCTCAAAAATTTCCTTTAGTAACTTCCACCCTGTTTTTCTTCACTTTCTACAGGCCATTTCCAGGTCAAACCTGTTCAAAGAACTCTGCACTGTACAGAAATTAAATGAGTGAATGAATAAAAACTTCTGCTTTCATGTGACTGTGGGGAAGGACCATTTACCTGGCATATCTGTATAAGCCATCTCAGGAAATAGAAGTTAACACCACTGTTTCTTTAAAAATTACTTGTAGTAGTCAGCGACACTGCAAGCTCCAAGTTTTCCATTCTGAAAACATGTGGGGAAAAAAAAAAAAAAAAGAAAGAAAAAAAAAAAAGATCTTAAAACAGTATATTGTCCTTTCATTCATTTTTAATGAATCATAGAATCATGTAGGTTGGAAAACACCTCCAAGATTATCTGGTCCAACCTTTAACCTAGCACTGCCAAATCCCCCATTAAACCACATCAGTAAGCATAACATCTACAAGTTTTCTGAAGATCTCTAGGGATGGTGACTCAACCGTGAAGTTACATAAACCAGAAAAAATTACCCAAAACTTAGAGGTCTACTAGAATGTTGATTATGGTGCCGTTAAACTGTCTGTCTTTAAGAAAATTAGTATTGTTTGTTATTTCCCAAGGTTGGAAAACCAGACCATAACTTTTGTACCAAGATAGATAATCACAGGCTATTGGCACTGGCTTCATTGTACTTATGAAGTGAGAGCCAAGAGCAAAATTTCTTTGGAGAATCAGCTGGAAATGATGAACATAGTAGAATTTTACAAGAAGAAACATAAGAATTACACATTGTGTCATGCCAAAACCCCATTGCCATAAGGAAATCTTGCTATTGAAAAGCAGTAATTCAGACAAGAAGAATTAAATAGGTGAAGGTGTTAGGGTATTATCATTTTAATTAATTCTCTACTTCAAATTTAAAATTGTAAAACCTAACAGCTGTAAAGTTAAAACAGACGGGAGATTTGATACCCTGTCTCATACAGCATTAACATCTGAACACACATACATGTTATTTTTACTGATTTAAAGCAAATGGCTGTAAACAGACTTCAGCACCTCACCTTTGAATTAGGATCTGGATACAAAAAATAATGCTTCACAGTTCTGGATTACTTGACACTTATTTTTGAGCTAGCCTCTGACTGTAATTAAGCAGCTAAGCACTATCCACAATTCAGGACAACCTCAGATGGGAACAATGATCAGATTCCAACAGAACAGGAATCGGTTAGGAATCAGTTAAACTAGCTAATGGTAGAAATGAAACTGGAAAGGCATATACACCAAGGCCTTAGGCACCTTACAGCTTGCAAAATAAAAGTCCCAGACTGATGCCTAAGTATGAGCATCCATGTTTTCTTTCAGAAAAGTGGCAGATCATTTTTTAAAGACAACAGAAATAAGTTTTCACCTTTTTATGCAGTCCCTCAGATAGAGTATTTTATTATATGTTCATTTAAGATAAGACACAGAAACTGTTCTGATCACCAACTAGAACACAAATCTCCCCCTCAGTGCCTTCAACACAAAGTTACCAGGTCATTCTCACTTTGTTTTTCCATCTCTGGTCCAGGAAATCCCTAATTCCCCACGAACCTGCCAATGTTTCCAAGGAGGCTGAGAGAAATACTGCTAATTTGAAGCAACAATGTGGACAAGTACTATATTAGTTTCCATCTTGACCTGGCTAGGCAAAAATGCCCAGAAAACTGTTTTGGTAGCTGCCTTTTTTTCCTCCTGACTTGCTGGCTGTTTCAGAAAGAATAAGAGAATCCTTATGTATGCATTTTTTTTTAAAGGAATCAGTTCTTAATCCCTAAAATTAAGCAGAACATAGCCTTTTTATACAACAAGAGTTTCTGCATGTGTGTACATGTTCTGCTGTCCTAGATGCATTGGCAAGCTGAGCCAAGCAGGTGAATTTCTACACCTCTGAAAATCCACAGGTAAACAGGCTTCAGCAGGCTACAGAGGTTCACCTGTGTAGGTCTGATGGCACTGTTGTCATAGGCTCTAGTCTGATTATTTAGCCTTCTCCAACACTGCCTTAATCCAACCTCAAAAGGGTGCACCACTTTGTAACCTAATACAAATAATGGCAAAATCTCAGTCAGATCTTGATAGATAAAGCCCATGCTCAGCCTTGGCTCAGGCAGCCGAGGGGGGCCTTGGTTGGCTACATAGATAAGCCATACAGTAAAACAGCACTATAGAGCTCACAGTATCAAGATTCATGGAGAGAAAACTGGAACTGAAAAGCTTTTGTTTAAAACATACCTACAATTATAACAAAAACAAGTAGAAATATTAAAAAGTTACAAAAACTAAGTTCCCACAAAAATCAGAAGCATCTAAATTCTGTTGCATCTAGTCATTAAAGATAATGCTTTTGGCATAACTGACAACAGTCAACACGCTGATTATAAGTGGATATACTTCAGCATTTACTGTGTCACAAGAGGGACGAGAATATTACGATATATTGTGATCAATAAGGTCACTGTTAGGCAGTGCTGAGATTAAGAGTATGTCAAAAGCATCAGATTTTCTAACTGCTGCACTGGTAAAGATTTGTGTGATTATCGTCAGTGCTGACGTGGAATCAAAGGGAGCCAGAAGATTAAAACAGAGCTTGAACATGATTAAAAACGTAGGCACAGACACTGCTGTTTTATTTGTAATGCAAGAGAACAGTAATATAGTGACCACTGGTTAATAATCTTACAGCATGTGAATGAATACTCATATTTCTGTATTTGATATCTTACAGGTCCAACTCAGGTAAAGCTTTCAGCTTTTTAGGATGTCATAAATGATAGGAAAATTATAAAATCACTAGTTAGAGAACAGAATATCAAAAACTGCAGCTAGTCTAAAAACAACCAAACCAAACCAAACCAAACCAAAACAACCATTTTCAAATTTTCCAGACAATAACATACGTTTATACAAACTTAAAACAGAAGTTGTTTTTTTTTTTTTTTCTTCCAAACCATGGCATGAACTAATCATTACAGAAGTTAGGTCAGCCCAGAACAGAGCATTGTACAATTAAGTTAGTATGGTA